CATCCCGCGCTGTTGAACCCGAAGTAGAAGTAGATGCAGCATCCCGCATCGTAACTGTATCGTAACACGCATCATGTTATAAATTATTTAAAATAATATTTTTTGCGTTGATTTATGTAGGATATAAGAAAAGTGTGCTCGATCCGTGATAGAAATTGTGATACGGAAATGCATCTTACATGTATCTTACTAATATTGTATATGCGAAAGTTGTATGGATGGATGGATGTAAAAGGGTATCTGCAGAGCGGTTTAACGGATCTCGATAACATTTGGTATCGTCTTAAACATTTCATGATATATATGCAATGTACCAGACGGGCTGAATAGGGATTTAAATGGCCAAATATTTTTTATAGCGTACCAAATTATACAGTAACATTAAAAGAGAAAGTTTTCTCTTCCTATCATTTTATAACAAAGAAGATATGGGAAAGGGGAAGAGTATGTGACACGGCATAATAATACAAATTTGTTTCTATGTAAGATATATGAAGTGTGTAGATATATGAAGGACAGACGTCTGAGTGAGGCGGCAGGAGATGAGGAAGCGGTGGATGTGCCTGCGGGCGCACTCGTGTCGCACGCGGCGCTTCGTGTTGTCGCAGAGAGCGAGCGCGCGGTCCCACGGCACCGACGTCTCGAACGACTCCGCCACTATGTCGTACTCCAGCGCCAGGTCCTGACATATACATCTTCATTGATTATAATGGAAAGTGCCATTAGAAGTCATATTTAACGTCCGATAGAGGACGCTGTACAAATCTAATTCGAATTTTGTCGATGACGTTACGAATATTTATTCCTATTTTTTCGTGTTACGCCCTCTTATCTTTTTAATCTTCTAAATTTATAGATTCATTAAATAATAAATTAAAAATAGATGTTGGCCGATTCTCAGACCTACTCAATATGCTCACAAAATTTCATGAGAATCGGTCAAGACGTTTCGGAGGAGTATAGGAACACGACAATTTTATATATAAGATTTATGTTACTGTCAAACCGTGAACGCCGACATTTTGTAATTTACCTAGGCAAATTGTAATAACTCATTTTACATTTAACAATAATATCTTACCCGTATATAAGCAATGACGAAGGTCAACGTGTACCCGACCTCTCCATTCTTAGCGCCCCCCGGTATACCCCCGAACAGTGCAGCAATAGCGTTCAGTTTCTTCTCTCTGTCGCTGACCTGGTCGCTGCTGCCCTCCATCAGCAGCGTCACCACACACAGCTTGTGAGGGTCGAAGCCCTTGATGCAAGTTATGTAAAACTTCTTCAGCCCGTCCAAAATCACACCACCCCAAGACGATTCCGCCTTAACCGCGTGACCGAAACGAAACTGGAAATATAAGCAAATTTAATTAAAAAAACAAATCCGGGTAAACTGTAAAATAAAAATCGAACATCTCAGTCTATGTCTAAGTTGTCTAATCATTGGTTTTTGAGCTGTTAATTTCTGTATAAAACATATTGTCTTCCCTGTCATTATCTTTGACAAAACAGAGATAGAAATATATTTTATATAGTGATTTTAGACTCAGAAACCAACGATTAGACTCACAAGTAATCTGATCCGGTGGACATAATTCGAACTAAATTAAGATAGCTAACTAGCGCCCTCCTGTCAATGTCAAATATGTCACGAGATCTATTTCATAGTGTAGATGTCATGTAATTTCTTTTTAATTTCTTTTCTGGCATTTTTATCATGTAGGTTTTACATATTTTCAGATAGCATCAACCGATAGCAACGCCTCTTACGGGGAAAACATTTTTGCAAAAAGGTCGGTACGATGATTACGGTTTTTTAAACCTAAAAGGTATTTTGCTGCAAAGATTTAATATTGGGAAACGTAATAAAGGTGTTTATGTTGTAACACGTTGTAACCTGTTCATTATCCATGAGTCGTATACTGGAGGGCTGCAGTCGCTGGCGAGCCACCTCCCTCTCGAACTTGAAGCCTGACTCCCAGTCGGGGAACACCAGCGACCCGTACCGCACCACCGCCGGCAGAGGGCGGATCTTTAGCGTCACCTTAAATATTTACACGACAGACTTGTCATCATCTCTCTGTCCTTGTTCCACTCACGTTTTTATCCAGTTTTCTGTTCTCCATACGAATCATGTCCTTTCACACAATCCATCTATCTCTTTCTAGTACTAATACTGATAGTTCTCCTTATATAACTCTTCCAGTATCATAATATGACCATATCAAGCTAAACTTTTGCGAAAGAGTACTTAATATCAAGTCCATTTTCTTCTAAAAAAGCAGTTTATTAAAGCGTAAGTTTAAATATTTTTAATCGACTTCCAAAAGTTGGAGATTGTCTATTTGCCTGTATGACTTATTCTTAAGTACTTCAATTGTTAAAACTTACTTTAAAAAGACTTTAGTATGTCATCAGAATAATAAAGAACACGATGGCAAATGTGTGAAAAACTGAAATAATCACGACAACTAAATACTAAAATTTACACTTCATATAAGGCTGTATAAAATCATATTTGATGTCATTAGTGACTTCCTTATCTGGGACGGAAACTACTTCTATATTTAGTATTAGTAGTTAGCTTTTATGTGCAATATAATATACATGATATCTTTCATCTCTTTCTTATACAGGTAAAAATATATTAGTCTATCTCACCTCAGTGACGACACCGAGACATCCCTCTGAGCCCATGACGACGTGCTCCCAGTCTGGGCCGCAAGAGATGCGCGGCACGCGGCAGCTCTTCTCTATCACCCCTGTTGGTGTCACCACCTGCAAAGTCGATGTGGATTGGATTTAACAGAGGAGGTGATGCAGAAGGGGAAATAATTATCTTTCTGTGCGTCCCATTCTCAGTCTATTAAGGCGAAGCATCTGAAATTGTAGGTCTCTATGGGCAGATCTTCGCTATTTCGGCGAATTCAGAAGGCCACCTTATATTATATTTTCGCCCACGACTCTGTCCGCGTAGAATTAAAAAAAAAACCTAATTAGTAGCCTATGTGTTCTTCCACACTATGTTCTACATGTGTGCCAAATTTTATAAAAACCCGTTCAGCCGTTCCGGAGGTACCATCAAACAAACATCCATCCATCCATCTAAACATTCGCATTCATAATATTAGTAACAAGTAAGATAAATAAATATTTCTATATGATCGACATTCTATTAAGCTTTAATAATATCCAACATACCTTAGTCTGCACCACCAGCTCCTCAATATTCCCGTACGTGTTCTTCTTCATACCACTAGCGCGTGTAGCAACCCATCCTCCCAACGTTGAGAACTCGTAGGAATCTGGTTCATGGCCCACTGTGAACCCTCGGGCACGCATCTCTCGCTCTAAATCCTGGCCTACGATACCAGCCTGATAGAAATACATAAAAGAAACTAATAATACGTAAAAAATGCAAAAAGTCTCTTGAGTTTACATAACCTTTAACATACCAGGGAAGAATACGAATCGAATGATATTTTACAATTTAAAATCGGTTCAACTAAACTAACATACTTGTATAGACGAACTTGGATAAATGAGAGTCCGAGGAGCTACGATATTTTACTGCTTAAAGAGGTTTCACTCTAACCCGAGTTTCTTGCTTATGGGAGGGCCTTTATCGGGACTTTTTTTTCGTTTATACAGGCTTCTCGGTTATCCAAGTTCGACATGTGAAAATCATTTAGGTAAGTATTGCTAGGAAGTAATCTAATAGGCATAGCACTAGCCTTACTAAAATGTCGACGTTCATTTCCCCTCACTAATCATTCTGACACTGGACTATGTAACGAAAGCGCGCCATCGATTCTAATTAAGAATGTCTAAAAGAATGGCAATAGAAAAAAGAATAATACTAAATTATTTACATTATTATATTTATATTTCTATTAAAAATATATATATATAAAAAAATCATTCCGTTTACCGGGACAAAGTTCTTGAATAAATATTTTTGTATAATACATAAATCTATTACACTCAAGTGCCGTATAAGACACCTCAGTGAACAATCTACATAAATATTTGCTAGCATTTATGTGTCGAGAAAAGGTCATTTGTATAGGTGTTTAGAGTTATCAATATTGACAGATGAGAAACATCGCAAAACATTAGCAAATGTATGCAATACTGAGGGCAGCAACGGACAAAGTTTACATTTGCTATATCTCTGAGGACGTATGTAAAAATGAGGCAACGTGTACATAAACAAGTAAAAGATTAATGAAAACATAAACTATGCATATCTTAGTGTGGGACTAGATTACACAAATTAACCATAAATGGTAACTTAAGTTTAATTTAATTTCTCAGTTATGTGCAATTTTTATGTTAGTTATTGTTTTTGGTTTAATCTTTATTACCTACTAGCTGTCGCCCGCGACTCGAAAAAAAACTTAATTAGTGTAGCCCACCCATCCATCCATCCATCCACATTACATCTATCTAAACATTCGCATTTATAATATTAGTACGAAAAAAAACAAAAATGAATAAATAGTATCATATGTCCGTCTCCTGGCTCTAAGCTACCTCTCCAATTTTCAGCCATATCGGTAAAGCCGTTCTTGAGTTATAGTGTAACTAGCACGATTTTCTTTTATATATATATAAATATGTATGTATAATAAAAACTGTTCTTTCTTTCTTTCTTAGCCGTTTCTGCTGTGTCCTAAGGCTCACTGCGTAATATTTAAAACGTCAGTAAATTTAACACTTTAATAACATTCAAGTTAAAGTTATTTCTGCTAAACTTAATCTATGCATATTAATCAAATTTAAGTAGCTGTTTGTAAAACCGAAAAAAAATCACATTTCGTACAAATATTTGAGTTGTTGATAATGAAAATTTATAATATTTTAAAATGTTTTGTCTGTATGTCCGCAAGGATCCGTTTGGTCGCTTTCGGATTGATTTTCACGAGACATGGACGGGAAGATAGCTGATGGATGCATATTATAGCTTTTTTTAAGTACTACGCTGACGAACTTCCGTGCGACTGCTAATTCTTTTTAACCCTTATGTTAATTTTGTATAGTATACCATACATACAACTCTATAAAAATATACGATTACTATAAAATAATTTTTAACCTATTTTTATTAAACTTATTTTTGGTTTTGTGTATTTTTTGCTTTTCTTAAAAAAAAAGAAATCTTGCCACAATAAGGGTTAACTATATCATCGTCTACCAGCTTAGATGACATCAGAGTATAAGGCTTAGGTAATAAGCGTTTCTGTTTCACACCCTTGAACATTTTATTATTCATCTAGAGTTGACATCATTCATCACGTTCAAGACATAAAGATATATTATTTTAGGAAACTTTGTTGCGAATATATAATTATCACTCTTAATAAATTCATCATTTTGTATTTAAGATAAATAAACTTAAAGATAACCATAATATAATAGATAATACTAAATTAAGGTACATTAACCCGAATATTAGACGAGAAATTCCATTCGATAAAGCACTTTTCTAAGCTTTTAAAACACTATGTATTAGTTTTTAGGTATAGCTTCACTTAGTACAAAAGCGTAGGTAGCGTAGCGTCGTTGAACACCTCGGTGTTCTCGCTGCTCGTTTGCCCCCTTCTGTTATAAAAAAAGCTATCCTCTTGCTTTGTCCAGATAGCCATAAATCCATACAGATTTTTTACGTATATACAAAACTAGCTGTCGCCCGCGACTCCGTTCACGGGGAGCTAAAAAATATCTTAATTAGGACCCCGCGGTCTTCCAGACTGTGCTCTACATTTGCCAAAATTCAGCGTGACCCATTCAGCCGTTCTGAAGATACCTTTAAAGGAACATCCATCCATCGATACAACCTTTTAAAGTTTCGCATTTATAATATTAGTAAGCTATAGTTACCATCCCTTTAAATATACCACACCTAAGCTTCTACACAACCTAGGACATCCATGAACATACCTGTACTCTAGCCAGCAATTGTTCTTTATCCATCCAGAGTATGGAGTTCATATCGCTCGTATCCAGTACGACTATCGGTCGCGGCTCGTCTGCAGGACAGGTAATCGCGCCAGATACCGACGTGCCGCCGCCGAACGGGATGATCACGAAACGAAGCCGGGACGCGCACTGCACGATTTGTACCACCTGGAAATAATTAAGTATACGTTAGAGACATTTATCATAAGAAACTAAAAATAGCAAACAAATTAATTGTAGAATGTAAAAAACCGAACAAAGGATGTTGGTAAAAACTATTGGTGAAAACGTAAAAATTATTTGTTTTTTAAAAAACAGTGAATGAATAAAAATATTTATTGTAGGTGTTTATGGCTAGGTGGTAGAAGTCGTTTCGCTATTTCGGCGAATTAAGTTGTCCGCTTGCGCCTTTGCCACCATATTTTAAAAAGAAATAAAGAATTTTTTTGTAAAATTTTCCATTTTTGTATTGATTTCTTTTAATTCACTTGCGGCTTCGTCTGACGCTTTTGTTCATATTTAAAATATTCCACGAACATATATTGAATAGGGTCAAAAATTTGTTAAAATAGGTTAACAATCTCTTTATAGAATTGAATCCATAAATCTAGAGATCGTTATCTTACTTATCGTTTGGTAAGTCAATAACAGTTCTGTTTCCCCTGGTACCGTCAACGCGAAAAGTCGTTACCGTATTTGTTTAACACATTCGCTTTAAAGTGTTAATTATGTAGCATACGTGATGCGCATAAGTATAATGCCGTGAAAAACCCTTATTATCAATCATCGTCCTCAGCACACTATACGTCCCCATCGAGGGGTTCGGAGCCTACCCTACGTTAGGGGTGACTAGGCCATAGTCAACCATGCTGGCCAAATGCGGGTTGGGTTGGTTGACTTTACACATATCTTTGAATTTCTTCTCAGATATGTGCAGGTTGCATCACGATGTTTTCCTTCACCGTAAGAACATCGGATAACTGTACATATGTAAATCGGAAATCGAAAAACACATTGGTACATGGTGGGATTCGAACCCAGGACCTGGAGATTGCAAGACAAGTGCTTAACACCTGAGCCACCGACGCTTTCTTATTATCAGTAATCGTCGTCATTTATTATGTCTGCTTCCTGTTACAAATCGAAATTTATTTACATAAGTATACAAAACAGCTAAAATTATCTTACAATTATAAAGAAAAAAACACACATAAACGATAATTGATCAAACAGGTGCACAGAATAGAACAATAGAATAAAGTTCGGTTTAAACATTTAAATTATATACAGACAAAAAAGATAACATTCTTATACATTGTATTATTACTAATTTACATTAAACTAAGTATACATTTTTTAGGTCAGAGGTTAGTCAGTAGGATGGTGTAATCTACACGTTCAAATGCATTTTCAAAGTCTAACCGTGGGTTTCTGAGACCAAAATGCCCCTTTAAGATATATATTTTTTTTATCACAAGGTGGCAAACGAGCAAGCGGCCACCTGAAATCGCTGAAATAGCGAAGTGACCGTTGTCCATAGACATACGCATTTGCATATGCGTTGCCTACCTTAATTCGACGGAAGAGAGGATGCGCAGAAAGAAAATATTTTCCCTTCCCATGCATCCTTTTATCCGGAAAGTCCACTTCCCCTTCCCATCCTTTCTTTATAAGAAAAAGGGTGGGAAGGGAAACAGGACTAAATTAGGCCTCCGGGACGCACACTCATCAGACGAAACGCGGAATTGTTTCCACTTCACGCCTGTTTTCTGTGTGGTCGTGGTATTTCACCGGGCGAGCCGGGCCAATTCGTGCGAAGATGTTAAAGCGGGCTCTACCTCTGTTATGTCAAAGATAATGACAGGGACGATATGATTATATTGAGATTTTGGTCTCAGAAACCAACGGTAAATAATCCACATTCCCAAATATAAACAAGTTAATATTGCACCAGTTTATAAAAAAGGCGCAAAGAATTTATGTTAATGTCTATGTGTTCTTTCAGACTATGTTCTACAACTATGCCAAATTTCAGCGACATCCATGCAGCCATTCCGGAGGTACCATCAAACATACATCTATCCATCCATGCAAATATTGTCAATTATAATATTAGTAAGATACTTACTTGTTCGTGGCTTTCAGGCCATATTACAGCATCAGGTATTCTCTTGAAGCTGTTACTTCTTAACAATGATATATCTTTGAGCGTCTGTCCGTGTGCTCTGATCAATCTGTCCAAACCGTCCACACTGACGAGAGCGATCTTCTCCAACTCCTGTCTAACGTTATCAGGTAGTCTGCTTTTTGTATACGAGTCAGGTAACTGTGGAATCTTCGGAGTTTTGTTTACATCCACGTTGAAATTTTCATTAACCCATTGAAGGCAATGTGGTAGAGTCTTACCACCGATTAAGTATCTGGAAATTAATTTAATATTTTAACATTTCGTTATTATAATTTAAACTAGCTGTGGCCCGCGACTCCGAACGCATAGAAATAAAAAAAAAAACTTAATATGTGTTGTTCCAGATATCTATGTAAAATTTAATCAAGATCCAATGAACCGGTTCGGAGACACCTTGTAACAAACATCGATACATCCATCTAGACTTTCGCATTTATAATATTAGTAACACAAATATAACATAACTAATAGTTAATTTAATTAGAATTAGATAATTCAACATATAATAAAACAAAAGATGGGAAGATGATTTTAAGAAAATAGCTGGACCGTTATGGATCCGCTTAGCAAGAGATAGGAATAGTTGGAAATCTTTAGAGGAGGCCTTTGTCAATTGACAAGCTTTTCAATACAAACAAGTTGCCGATCATTTAAATACTAGTAGAATTGTTTAAATTAATTTAGTTTTTTTAGTTAATAGGCATGTATAACTATCATAAATTGTAAAAATTGTAAAGCAATAAAGGCTATTTTATTTATTATTTTATAGATAATTCAAAATCATATCTAGGTATTCTTGTGGTAGCCAATATTTAAAAAAAAAACTCGTATTTTTCTTGTGGATTTTAGGACCAATGTATGCGCGAGTACCACCATTAGACCAACCGTGGACAAGGACGTAATTACCTAAACGATTACAAACATCGCATTACGTTCTCAATGGTCAACGTAACTCTGTTTAAACGCTAAAAACGACAACTGACTGTTAAATTTGAACAAAACTATGGAAAAATAAAAGAATAATATGTACTGTGTGTACATTCGTCATCATAGGGTCATCGACAATGATGTTAA